TAGTAGTAGTAGTAGTAGTAGTAGTAGTAGTAGTAGTAGTAGTAGTATTAGTAGTAGTAGTAGTAGTAGTAGTAGTAGTCGTAGTAGTAGTAGTGGTGGTAGTAGCATTAACAGTAGCAGTAGCAGTAGCAGCAGTGGAAGCGGTAGTAGTAGTAGTAGTAGTAGTAGTAGTAGTAGTAGTAGTAGTAGTAGTAGTAGTAGTAGTAGTAGTAGTGAGGTTAGTAGTGAGGTTAGTAGTAATAGTGAGTAGCACTAGTAGTAGTAGTAGTAGTAGTAGTAGTCGTCGTAGTAGTACTAGTAGCAATAGTAGTAGTAGTAGTAGTAGTAGTAGTAGTAGTAGTAGTAGTCGTAGTAGTAGCAGCAGCAGCAGCAGTAGTAGTAGTAGTAGTAGTAAAATAAGCATAGTAGTAGTCGTCGTCGTAATAGTCGTAGTAGTAGTAGTAGTGGTCGTCGTCGTCGTCGTCGTCGCCGTAGTCGTCGCCGTCGTCGTAGTAGTCGTGGTGGTGGTACTAGAAGTAGTACTAGCAGCAGCAACAGTAGTAGTAGTAGTAGTAGTAGTAGTAGTAGTAGCAGTAGTAGCAGTAGTAGCAGTAGTAGTACTAGTAGTAGCAATAGTAGGAATAGTAGTAGTAGTAGTAGTAGTAGTAGTAGTAGTAGTAGTAGTAGTAGTAGTAGTAGTAGTAGTAGTAGTCGCCATCGTAGTCGTAGTAGTAGTAGTAGTAGCAGTAGTAGTAGTAGTAGTAGTAGTAGTTGCTGTTGCTGTTGATGGTGTAGCAGTAGTTGTATCAGCAATAATTGTGGTGTTAACAGAAGTGAGAAGTGATACCCTATCATCTACCCTGCCCCCATGGGGCCCTCAATATCCCTTCTTGTGGCCTCCGTGGGCCGCTCTCCGAGCGCTCTTTGGCGTTCTTGGGGTCGTCGTGGGGCTCTCTTGGGCATCTCTTGGCGCCCTATTGGGCCATCTTGGGGCCACCTTGAGGCCTCGGATTGCCATCGGAAGCGAACGGGTGATGCCATACCATGTTTTCAACGTTTTTGAAGGATGTTGGCGTTGGAAGCCTCCTTGGAAGTCTCGGATGCTTCTTGGAGCCGTCTCGGGGGGGCTTCGGTGCCTTTGAGAGCATCTTCGGAACCATCTTGAATCATATTAGGCTACCTTGGGGTATATTGGATATCAAGTTCGGCTCCTCTTGGGGCCGTCTTGGGCGCTCTGGTCCTTTGCGACCTCCCCCGTCCAGGTCGATGGGAGGGGGTATGGGGGAAGGGATAAGCCCTTCCCCGAAGGGGAGGAAAAAGGGTTGGAAGAAGAACCGCCCTAAACGACCTACGCCCAGAGGGCAGGCGGGATTAGCGCGATGGTTCAAGCTGAGGTACCCTGCAGACATCAAGACAGACAAGCTAGAGGGCATGGTCAACAAGTATGTGGTGGATTGGGGGGAGGCCAACCAATGAAGGCCTGGAGGGGAAGGTGGGGGGGGGGACTTGTCGCGTGCCTTGATGCCCGCAGGGCATTAAAGAAGGGAAGGGGTTCGGGGGGCTGGAAGGGGGGGAAGGACATGGGATGGGGGGAGACGGGAGGGGCTGGAAAGTGGGAGGGTCCTGGTTCGCGTAGTGAGAGGGGGGAGGGAGGAGTGGGGGGGGGGGGCGGGAAAGGAGGAGGGGGGGGAGGAACGAGGAGGATGAGAACGGGGGCGGTGACGAGATGAGAGCTATGGGGGATATGGGCCCCCCCCTGCCCTGTGTGCCCCCCCCCAAGGCTGCGCAGGCGGAGGGGTTCCGCAAAATAAAATAAAACATGCACAGTCGTAGTCGTAGTCGTAGTCGTAGTCGTAGTCGTAGTCGTAGTAGTAGTAGTAGTAGTAGTAGTAGTAGTAGTAGTAGTAGTAGTAGTCGTAGTAGTAGTAATAGTAGTTGTAGTAGTAGTAGTAGTAGTAGTAGTCGTAGTAGTGGTAGTAGTAGTAGTAGTAGTAGTAGTCGTAGTAGTAGTAGTAGTAGTAGTAGTAGTAGTGGTAGTAGTAGTAGTAGTAGTACTAGCAGCAGCGGTAGTAGTAGTAGTAGTAGTAGTAGTAGTAGTAAAAGTAATAGTGTTAGTAGGCGTAGTAGTAGTAGTAGTAGTAGTAGCAGCAGCAGTAGTAGTAGTAGTAGTAGTAGTAGTAGTAGTAGTAGTAGTAGTAGTGGTAGTAGTAGTAATAGTAGTAGTCGTCGTAGTAGTAGTAGTAGTAGTCGTAGTAGTAGTAGTAGTAGTAGTAGTAGTAGTAGTAGTAGTAGTAATAGTCGCAGTAGCAGCAGACCCGCCCTTGGCTTGCCATCCAGGCCTTGCCCCGCGTCTTCTCGCGCTAGTTGGCCTGGGTGGCGGTACTGGGGTCGCCCCGTGTGCTGCTGTGCCGTTGCTGGCGCTTCACCTTGCGCCGTTGGACCAACTGCCCACAGTACAAGCGCCTGACGCTGCAAGCATGTCAGACCCGCCCTTTCACCCAGAAGAGGTGCGCGCAACATACTGGCAATGAGGCAGCCACAAGGACGCTCTCCCCTAGGTGGTTGAGCCGTGGTGATGTGGTGCACGAGACCGCCAGTAGTAGTAGTAGCAGTAGCAGTAGCAGTAGTAGTAGTAGTAGTAATAATAATAGTAGCAGTAGTAGTACTAGTAGTAGTAGTAGTAGTGTTAGTAGTAGTAGTAGTAGTAGTAGTAGTAGTAGTAGTAGTAGCAGTAATAGAGGCAGCAACAGCATTCGTAGTATTGGTAGCAGTAGTGGTCGTAGAAGTAGTAGTAGTAGTCGTCGTCGTCGTAGTAGTAGTAGTAGAAATAGTAGTAGTAGCAGTAGTAGTAGTAGTAGTAGTAGTAGTCGTAGTAGTAATAGTAGTAGTAGTAGTAGTAGTAGTCGTCGTCGTAATCGTAGTAGTAGTAGTAGTAGTAGTAGTAGTAGTAGTAGTAGTAGTAGTAGTAGTATCAGTATCAGTAGCAGTAGCAGTAGCAGTAGCAGGAGCAGTAGCAGTAGCAGTAGTAGTAGTAGTAGTAGCAGTAGTAGTAGTAGTAGTAGTAGTAGTAGTAGTATGAGTAGTGTCGCCATCGCCATCATCATCGCCATTGTAGCCGTCATCGCCACCACCATCAGCATCGTCATCGCCGTTATCATCATAATCATCTGCACCCTCATCATCACCAGCAGCATCGTCGGCATTATCATCATCATCATCATCATCATCATCATCATCATCAGCGTCTGTATCATCGGCATCAGGCTCATCATCAGCATCTTCACCATCATCGCAACCTCTTCAGTCCTCCTCTACCTCCGACGATGCTGACGATGCTGATGATGATGATGAGGAGGAGAATAATGCAGATAATGATGATGATGGTGATGATTATGATGGTGATGATGCTGATGGTGATGATGATGGTGCCGATGACGATGATGACGATGATGACGTTGTCAATGCTGATGATGACGATGACGGCGACGATGATCTAACTACTACTTCGCGGTGGCTAAAGTGACTTTAGAACCCTGCTGAGGCCACCCCAGATGACAGGGGGCGCTAAAGGAGGATCGACAAAATGGCCATTCTGTCCACGGTCAACCTCGGACATGAACAGAAACGGCCCGGAAATCAGAGCCTCTGCTGAGCCCAACATGGTCTTTATTTCAGCGCCATGTTTGTAGGATAGGCCGGAGAGTACGAATGCAAAGGTACCCTTGGAAAGCTTGCTCATCCTCATGATGCGGTTTGGCTGTATCCGCGTCGTGGACGACGCGGGCATCAGCCGCGCGAGGCCCTCACGCGCCCTCGCGGCCCAGCTCGGGGTGCACCAGCAATTCGTCGGCGCTGGTGTCGCCATCCGTGTCGCTGCCAGCGGAGTCGGCGTAGCTATCGTCGGCACTGGTGTCGCCGTCGGGGTGGGCGGTCGTCGTCGCCAAGTTCGCGCGAGGCTGGAGAGCATTTTCTATGTTTCGCGATAACACCCGTTACCGGGCCCAACCCCCGACCCCCACCTCTATGGTAACGCCATGATTTCCGGAGCACTGGCCAGCAAGAAAACCAACAGAGCACCCAACAGCCATGAATGCCAAAACGATGATACCTGCCTCAATTCCGAAGGGCACTTATTTACCCGGGGTCGCCAAAACGCTCACGAACGCAAGAATTGTGAAAAGCATGACAGTACCGAATGGCATTGAAAATACTGCATGTGTGACGCTTCTTGCGAACACCTCGTTGGTTATGAACACAATGTTGTTCCTGATGCTATCACCTACAATATAACGCCACCGACCCTGCTAACACCGTTTGTCACCGCCGTGGAATGCATGAACACAAGCGCAATTCAACACCGGAACCGCTGTGAGCAGATCGGCTGTTCCGTCGTCCATGCATGGGTTCCTCCGTTTTTTCCTCCGTCACTCCTGCTCCCCACCCCTCGGTGTTCTTGCTTCTCCCACGGTGCAAATCATCAAGCAAATTACTACGATCCTCTCCCCCCAGATTCCGTCGGAACGGCTCGCCGACTCTCCCAGTTTGCTTGTACGCATAGGGCCCGAGCGGTATATGTCATGTGATCGTCGTCGAACAGCTCGTTTGTATATTTGGCGCGTGTTCTGAAGTATGCTGCCAATGCAGTGCTGGCCTCATTTCAGGATCGGGCGCGTTGCTACCGTCGTTCAAAACGGCGCATTCGCCCCAACGCGGGTCACACTCCTGGATATGACTCATTCCTCGTTGTTGTCGCCGTTATCGCCGTTCACCTTTCCCCACCTCCGCGCCCCACTGGCGAAGGACGCACCCCCCAACCCCCAGGGGGGAGGCGCTTCAAGCCGAAACGGAGGCACGGAGAGAGAGGTCCTCCACCCTTAGCCACAAGGGCCTGGGAGGAGAGGGGACGGAAGTAAGGAACAGAAAATGGGGAAGGGAGAAGGAAAAACAATAAGGAAGACGGAGGCTGGAAAAAGGAAGGAGGCGGATGAGGGATCGCGAGAAAACGCGGAACACCCCAGCGCGACCCAACGAAAACCCCAAGACGGCACAATGCAACCCCAAAGTGGCTGGGATACGGCCCGCTTGGTGGCGCAATGCGAAAAATTACCGCGACGACGCGCCCAGCCTTTGCGCAGCGCATGGTCATGATAGCTGGGTGTATTTTTAGGGCGTGATAACGTGGCGAGGAGGTATACGTTGCTGCGAAGGACACTTGGAAGGCTCGCGAACTGCGCGGTCCGCAGGACACCGATCAAGAGACAAGGGCTCGATACAGGTCATTCGTTGGGCTATGGCGCCGCAGCATCCATCCTCTGGATGTGGCGACACTTCGCAGGTCGCACCCCCCTCCCCGGATGGCGGGGTCGAACCAAACGTTGCAACGCGCGGCGATGCCGCCCCCCCCCCCAGCAGCCCTCGGAACCGGCAGCAATAGGACGCCACGGCGACAGGGGAAGAGGAATGATGAATTTGAGGAAACGCATCGGCGCGAAAGCCTCTGGATCGCGCGTTGGCAGCAGCGGGAGGACATGACAGCTGGAGAAATGGCAGCTGGGAGGGAAGGGGTCGACGACCAGAGGAGAGCAGAGGAAGAAAAGAGTCTATGTTTCGAGGCACGCCAGCAAACTGGCGCAGTCCGCGCAAGCACTGCGCAAGGCCGAGATCCTCTGCCAGCTGCTGCGCCTCTGCCGGACTCTCATCAGCGAGAGAACTGAAAGCGCGCAGGCGCGCAGCGAATTCCGCCAGCAGCCGGCGAGAAAGGAACTGCAGCCCTGGGCCCCGAATCGCCATAAGATTGTCGACCGTGGTGGCCCTGGAGAGTATCGCGTAGCGATGCAGCCGCCGGCCGTCCTCCTCGTCATCGTTCTTGCGCCCGGCGTCGACGATGGCTCCGCGCCGCATGGCCAGGCCCTGACTGGCCGTGGAGGTCAGGACCTGGGCGCAGGAGTTGGGGGAGCCTGCGCGCGTGAACTTGCGCTTGCGTGACAGGAAGGGACTCGAGGTCTGCGGCCCGATGAACACAAGTCGTGCCGCGTCGGAGGCGTCGACGTCGCCGCTGTACTCCGCGAGTTTCTTGCCGAAGGCAGGGGCCTTACACTTGTCCACGCGGACCCAAACGCCGAGAGGCAAGTGCTGCAGGTGCGCCGGGCGATTCGTTTTTTTCGCCGACCTCGACCCCGCCTCGTCCACGGGGCCGACAGCTGCGCCCACGACCTCGCCCGACGGGCGACCGCGAAGGGCGGCGGCAATATCGCCATCCGAAAAGAAAGCACGAGTCCTGCTCGTGGTCCAGAAGCGGGGGTGACCAGAGGGCCGGATGAGCAATCTCACAGGGCGGCAGCGATATCACAAGCCGAAAAGGCCAAAACCATTGATTTCCCAATGAGTTTTTGAAGGGTTGTGGCCTTTGCGTTTTTTCGGCCTGCCGACGGCCCGAGGCGACCCAAGCGCCCCCAAAGATCGCCCAAGCGGCCCACGACGGCCCCAAGAGGCCCCCAAGACGGCCCAAGAGGCCTCCAAGACGCTCAAGATGGCCTCCAAGACGGCCCAAGAGCCCTCCAAGACGTCCTCCAAGAAGGCCCGAAAGGGTCAATATTGCCTCCAGACGGCCAAGATGACTTTCAAGATGCCCACGTGTTCCCGAAGGCTTTCCAAACCGATTCGGGGAACACATGGTCCGATAGCTTGGCAGGTCTGGCCTCAACGTCCAGCCACATAGGCGCTTCTAAAAAGGCAGGGGGCGGCGGTGATTCGCCGTAGGCGTCTTAGATAGATACTCTCGTTCCAAATGGGCTAGGCTGCTTAAGACTACGCAGTCGCACTAATTATCCAGCGCAGACCGCAGACGTGGACACCACTGGCACTGAAATGAGGAGCCAATCGTTTGGTGGTGTCAGCGGCTCTTGCTGCGTTCTGTTCTGGCCAATGCGCTCCTTGACTGCGGTGGGAACTGTCACACAGAGCGCTTCAGAAAAAAACACTACTGAAGTTGAGCTGAATACTGTGCATTGGGTCGTATCAGAAGGCATGATCGAGAGGCGTCGCGCCAAGCCTTTCAACAAAAATCAACTCTGCGAACCAAACTCCTTTTGCAAATCTGGTCGGATCAACAAAGACCACCATGTCATGCTTCAATGCCCATGATTGCCAGCCGCCGCACCAAGCCGCGCCGCAAAGCCACAATCATGCGGGTCAAATCATGTCACGAGCGCAACTCGGAGCACAGATCGGCTTCTTCAAACTTCAATGGTCAAAATTGCTGGCCGCCAGGCAAAATCGCGCCGCAACCACCAACCCTGCGACTCAAATCCTTTCATGCACCCGGCTCGCCTCGCCTGCTCGCAGGATGCCTACATGGTGGCAAACGCCACACGGCCTGAAAGAGAGGCCGCTCGAAGACAGCAAGACCGGCAAAGACAAATGATCACGTCAGCTGTGGTGCCAACCCAGCCTCCGAGCCCCAACACCCCTCTGGCGCTGGGATCGACTCAGAACATAACGACGAGGACCAACTGGTGTCCAGGAAAGCTTCCAGTAACAGAACATTGGTCAGCACTGCGGAGACAGCATCGCCTGTCTTGGGGACAATCGATGCTATCATCTGCACGGCTCGAGTTGGTATCTGCAATGAGGCTAACCTCCCGTTGTCGTGAGAGGATCTTCGACATGGCCATCGCCGTCAGGGCATGTGAACGCGTTCTCCTCGGCTGCCTCCACCGCGTCGTCGTCATCGTCCGTCGAGGTGGATAGGATGCTATGCGAGCAATCGGCTTCCGGCAAGAGGGGCTTGCTCCAATCACTGCCCCACGACCACGTACAAGTAACAAGCGCTGTCTCCACTAGAGCTGGGGAGGACTGCCGTTTCGCCGCCCGCGGGCCAACGACCTCCACGGACGGAGAGCTGCTCGGGCTTGCCACCCCGCTCTCCGCGTCGCCGTGAACAACCTCAACCGTGTCGCTGAACGTGGTGCGTCTGCTGCCTGCCATTCACAGATCGGCGCGGGCGGACAGGGCTCGGCGCGGGGACATGACGCGGGCGGACCATGCCCCTGCCCGAGTGCGCCTGCTGTCTGCCATCCATGGCCTGACGCGGGCTTACACCCGAGCTCGGTGCGGAGCGACTGCCTGAGCCCCCCCAAAAGGGTGATCACGGGCTCTCGAGCTGACCGAAGAAGAGCGGACGAGACAAGCGGGGCATGTGATGCGTCCAAGGAGGGTAGCATCACAAAAAGCGAGCGCACCTAGGATGGGATGGCTGACCGGGGCAGGACAACGACTAGAGGGGGGATGTCCGTGCCGATTGCTGGCATCGGCGCTGGAACCATTCCCCCCCTGGTGCGGGAAGCGAGCCTTCAGGCGCCACCAGGGGGGTCCAGCGCCGACCCGAAAAATCCGCGCGGACCTCCGTACGTCTCTCTCTCTCTCTCTTTCTCTCTCTCTCTCTCTCTCTCTCTGTTTTCATCTATTTGTTTGTTTTCTCTCTCTCCCTCTCTCTCCTTTCTGTCTCTCTCTCTCTCTCTCTTCCTGTTAGTTGTATCCTCGATTCCTCCTACGGTGCAGCTGGCACGAGGGTCCCTTCCTCCTTGGAATGCCCTTCTTTGGGGCATCTCCGTGGGACCCTGGGCCCTGGGAGAAGAGGCTTATGTTCCTGACCCACGTTCTCGTGGCCACGTTTCGACGGTTAGTTGGCATGAGAGAAACCGGTCCTGAGGGACAAGGGGCCCTGGAACCTGGAGCCTTCCCCTAGAACCAACTCTTCGAACTGAATCGTTTTTGAATGCTCCGGGGCCCCGGGAGCACCCCGAGAGCCCCCGAAAACGGGGAAAAACCTCAGAGCACAGTTTCCTCAAGACTCGTTGGCTGCATGGCGACTTTGATAATGCCCGCCATCGCCAGGAAATAACAACAAGCAGGCTCCTGCTCCAGATCCTCGTGGAACCGCGCAGCCCTCTTGCGCATCGCGCCGCTGGCGTTGCCGGCCAACTGCTTCAGCCGATCCGCCGGAGGTAGCGCCTCCAACCTCAGCTCCGAGAAGTTCCTGAGCACCACGGGATCGAAGGGCTTTGGGGATCGTTTGGGGCCTCCGCGGCCCCTTGCTGGGCCCCCGGGCCGTCAACAAGAACTTACCGAGATGTGGAGCCCGCCCTCACGAGCGGCTCACATATCAGTATCCGCGCCCTCGCGGTCTGGATTCTGGTGCGCGATCTGGCGGATAGACAGTCGCTATGGTACGTTCCGCGCGAGGCATCCGCGAACAAAAACGTCCCGTATCCGTCGGGTCGCAGCCCAGGCGCCCGGCCCGCGAGGCCGCGGATACTGCTTCCTTCGCGAGCGCAATCGGTAGAGCTGCGCGCCTTCGCAAGGGTCAAGCAAGCCGAAAGGCAGCGGCCGTTGACAGAAGCTGCGAGCAAGCAGCACGCTCAGAAACCGAAAAAAGCGAAGAGGAAGAAAGGCTATGTGTTTCGCCCACGAGGACCACGGGAAGGTGTCGAGGCCTCCAGGGGTCAGCGTTATGAAGAAAACCGCGACGTCCAAGCTGTAGAAAAAAACGCGACGCTGGGATTCTGGGGAGGAAACGTACGGAGTCTTACGCACGATGGCGTGACGAACGAACGCGATGGCTTATCCAAGCCGCTAACGCGGCACACCACGCAGAAGAGAAGGCGCTTGCACGCGGCCTTACGCGGGCAGCTTGCGCGCGAATGTCTGTGTGGTCGATGTTTTGCAGACGACCCCTCAAAATTGCGTCCTGGGTCGCGTTCCTGGCCAGGGCTTCGGGGCGGATCCAGTCGTGGTGACCAGGGCGCTCCATGCCCCCAAAAACATCCAAAAACCGCCGAAGGCTATCTTCATGGCGAGGCTCCTGAATCGGGAGAGGGCCACATACATCTGCGCCGGCTCGAAAAGGTGGGAGAGGTCCACGTGGCCGCCGTCGAGGGTCATGCCCTGGCACTTGTGGACAGTGATCGCCCACGCCAATCTCAGCGGAAACTGCGACCTGCAGTACTTGCCCACTCCTGGAGCAGCTTAGAAAATCCTGGCGTCCACGGCGTCGACGCCTAGATGCTTCTGGCCGGCTACACGCAAGAATGCCCCTGGGCAACCGTGACATTTGGTACGCGGTATGCAGATCGCTGCGTGCGACGCGACAGTGGCGGCCTGGCGCTTGGGTGGACCCCCCCACGCCTCCCGAAAGCCGCGCACCAAAGGTCACTCTGGCAAAGTGTGCCTCTTACGTGTAACCGAACTCCGAAGACCTCTGGAGGCCTCTGGACCGGCTCCTGACATAGGTAATATTACCGACATCGATCTCCCCTTCTGCGCCGCTCTGCCCAAACGTAATTTGCGGTCAAAGGATGTTTTCAACTGCTCACTCCTTGTATCTCGCCTGCGAACTCCGCCGGGAGAATCATCTTCTGGCAACGCTGACGAGCGCTGCTGAACTGCACCGTGACAGCGCCGCCATCCCCGCGAATATCAATTACCTCGGGCAACCCTGCAATGGTTGGCAGCGGGTGAGTACTAACTATAGATCCACTGCTTCGAATTAACTTGTTCGAACGACAGATGAACGTGAAAACTGCTAACGAGGACGATCTGACAATGTTCCCGAGCGGTCGCTGACGTTCCGAAGATGGCCCTCTTCCATGTCCTTTTTCGCTTGCTTCATTCCGACATCGTTTCCGAGCCCCGTCCAGCTTTGGCGACGAGGGATCCCGCGGGCCAACGAAAGTATCGGGGGCGGGCAGATCCCCCTTCAGCAAAACACCATATAGTAAAAGCTGCAAAAGGCACTCCATGTGCGCACGGCACCGCATTCCGAGTGCATTCCAGCGGGGTGGCTCATCGACGTCCAAAAACACCCGAATATATCAGGGGAAGCGCACGTCGGTTAGCGAAAACGACTGGCGACTGCACCAGCACAGTTGAATGCCAGTGTCGAGTGAAGCAGTGCAGATTCCCTCAGTCGACTTGTCTGGGTGGGCGTCCTCTCAATATATGATCGAAATGACGTGTACGTTCAATCAAGGCTATAGATCATTCATCACGGTCCCAAGCAGCCTGGGTTAGCGTTCTAGCTCATCCTTCGCACACGTTTCCGCGGGTTCCAGTGGTTTGGCCAGCTTCTCGGAAGCTGCTCAATAATGGCTTGGCCAGAAGGAAACGGTAGGCCCCTGGATGTCACCACAACTGCACTGGGTCAGCTTAGTCGTCTCCGTTTTGCTAGCGTGCCGACCGCCTTCCCTGTGCTGCCGTTGACCAACGGCATCTGCCGTGTCCCGTCGGACAGCGTCCTGCACGCGGAGGGCAGCCGCAAATTCTTCAGCAGCATGACGCGCGCCCCCAGCTTCAAGCTCAGAATCTCGGGGGCGACGAGCTGCCGCAAGGCGGCCTGGATGCTTGGGTGCGACAGGCCGCCGTCCAGCCTGTCCGGCATTTTTCTGCTCTCTGTTGCCCACCCTGCGCCACCCCATGACTTCATGATTCTCGCACGGGGCCCTGGGCACCTCGACCCCTTCCCAGGGTTTTTCTCGTTGCGCTGCAGTCGTGCTCTGAGTGTGTCGGCTCCAGAGAGAAGCCCCCGGGAGGTTTGACATTCCAACCTGCACTCAGGGGCATGCGCTTGAGGAGTTCGCGAAGGTAGCCGCCTGTGGCCGCTCCGTGCACTGCCTGACGCTTCTGTGTGTATGGCAAATTTGCCGCCCGCGGGTGTCTCGTTGGCGCCCCGTGTGCTAGACGGCGCATCCGGGTTTTCGCCAAGTTCTCGGCCCGTGGCCGTCCGAGGACGCCTCGTGGGCGCCCCGTGCGCTGGCTGGTACTTGTGGGTGTTGGCCAAAGTCGCCGCCCGTGGCCGCCTGTGAGCGCGTTGGGTTTTCACTTGATGGCCGCCCGTAGTGTCTCGTGGGGGCCCCGTTCATCCGCAAGCGCACTACACAGAATACCTTTGAGAATCAGAGCTCGACTCTACCACCTTCTGCCGAGACCAGACTGAACGGGAACCCCTCCGCACTGTTCTTTGTCTGTCTGTTCCCCATATCCTCAGATGGGACTCTTGTTCATACTGTGGGGACGCATCCGCCTCACTCACTCACTCACCCGCCTCTTGCTTTCATACCCCAAGGTGTAAGATAGTGCAGAGTGGAACCCTTCCGAACTCGGGCTTACCCACAATCAGACTCGGACTAAAGCCTAGTTAGACTCACTCATCGCTCATATCTCCTCTCCTCCTCGTCCTCCCCATCACCTCAGCGGTTTGAAAACGGCATTTCGTATAATGTACAAGCATAATGTTTGCCAACTGCCAGATTTGTGTTGAGCAGTGTACAGTCTGGCATAGAGTCAGCTTCGCTGCTTCCGATCCAAGTCTGAGGAATCCGAGATGTGCACGGCGGTGGCCCGTCCGGCGGCCACCGCCGTCTGTGGCGGCCGCCAACGCCGAGATGTCGGCGCCAATGCGGCCGTGGACCTCCCACTTCCCCCCGTGGACCTCCCACTTCCCCTCCCCCGTAGGTCGTCGTTCTGTAAGAAACCCTGGAGAAAATGTCCTTCCAATCGCATCTCCTCTCCTCTTCGTCTCTCCTCTCCGTTACGTTGCCAGCACACTCAGTCCCACCAGCCCTGTGGGCCAAGGTGGTCTAATGGGTTATGTCTTCTCTCTGCCAAAGCCCTCTTCCATTCCAGGAGGGGTACCCTCCCCAGTCCCTCCCCGATATTTTTTTTCTTGGGGGGGAGAGTGGCGGTGTGTTGGGTGGTCCATGTTCGCCCACGGTGGCTCCCAGAGGGCCCCTGATGCTCCAAACCTGCCTCCAATAGTGTTCAAGACAGAGGACGATGGTTCAAGCTAGCTCCCGATACACCTCCAGGAGGCCCGACGAGGGCCACACGACGATTCCAAGTGCTCTCGGAGCCCCCTCAGGACCCTCCCCGAAGAGGCCACACCCATTCAAACACCAAAGAAAAAACACTGCGCTTTGCCTTCTCGCCGTTTCGCTTCCGATGCGCTTTGAGGTCCCACAATTGCTCAAGAGGCGCCCCAAGAGGGCCCCCAAGAGCGACTCTAAGGGCACTACAGGGGGAGGCGAATCGGGGAGCCACCCGCCTTTGGTCGAAAGCCTCCAGGGTGGCCTCAGGAGGTCCTCCAGGGCTCCAGAAAGGGCCCCAAGAGAGCCCCAGGAGGGCCCCAAGACGGCCCCAAGACGGCCTGAAGAGCGCCCCAAGAGCGTACCACGAGGGCCCCATGAGGTAGTTTGCCTCCTCCTCCTCCTCCTCCTCCTCCTCCTCCTCCTCTTCCTCCTCCTCCTCCCCCTCCTCATCCCCTTCCTCCTCCCCTCGCCACCCCTGCGGGCCCCAGGGATGGCCTGAAGAGGCCCTCCAAAGCCACCCCCTCTGCTCCCAGAGATCTCTCTCTTCCTCCTGGTTGCCCGCATTGTTCCCTTTCCCCGTCGATTCTCATGGGCAACGTTTCTGACTGGGCTGGCGGGGATACGTGAAAGGAATAGAATTACGCATAATCAGACTCACTCAAACATGGATCACTCAGATTCATACCTACGCATACGAAGACTCACTCTCACTCAGACTCACCCACACTCAGACTGATTCACACTCAGACTCACTCAGACTCAGATTCAGTGCCACTCAGACTCACCCAATTCAAACACACGCATACCCAGACTGACTAGCACTACGACTCACTCACAACGCGATATAGCAAGCGTGGCATGGGCACCCCAAAGGGGCCCCGCCTGGGGGTGTTGCACTTCACCGTTCGCGCACAATGTGTGGGAATGCCTCACTCGGTTTGCTTGTTTCTGCGCCGCCGGCATCTCTCTTTTGACGGTTCACTGCTCACGGTGAGCGGGCGTAGCACTTGGGCACCCCAAGGGAGTCCCGCCAGGGCGTGTTGCACTTGATCAGGCACAGGATGTGGGCATGTCTCAAGCGGTTTGCTTGTGTCGGCACTGCCGACATCTCTCTTATGGTGGTCCAGTGCCCACCGAGATATAGCAGCCGTGGCAATAGGGCATCCCACTGGAGGAGCCGACAAGGGGTGCTACACACCCCCGATCGCGACCATATTGTGAGCATATCTCAAGCGGTATGCTGGTTTCGGCGCCGTTGGCATCTCTTCTGGAGGTCCACGGCTCACCGCGATACAGAGGGCGACGCACTTGGGCACCCCAAGGGTGAGAATTCCACCGTTCGCGTCCAAAGTGTGGTCATCTCTCAAGCGGTGTGCTTGTTTCGGCGCCGCCGGCATCTCTCTTTCGGTGGTCCAATGCCCACCGCGAAAAATAGCAGGCGTGGCACTTGAGCACCCCAATGGAGAGCCGCCAGGGAGTAGGACACGCCATTCTTGGCGGCCAGATTGTGGAGACGTCTCCCGCGGTTTGCTTGTTCTGCCCCCCCAGATTTCTCGCTTTTGACAACCATGTCCCAGGCGGTTTGCTTTCTTCGGCGCTACAAGAAGGCGCGGAGGCGGAAGAGGGGTCGGGAGGGAAGGAGGAAAGGGAGAAGGCGGAGGGGAGGAAATGGGTCGGAAGAGGGACGCGCAGGTGGCCCTCACGCAGTGTCGGGCCCAGTCGTCGTCGTCGTCGTCGTCGTCGTCGTCATCGTCGTCGTCGTCGTCGTCGTCGTCGTCGTTTTCGGCGTTTGTTTTTGGCCTACGCCTCCTGCAAGCACTGCAGCTGGCGCTTGGGAGTCGCCCGGCTCGCAGCGGCGCGTCCTTCAACAGCCCAGAGAGGAGAAGGAGGAGCACGAACCGAAGTGCGCGTTGAACCAACCGCGAGGCCAAAGGCCTGGCACCCCCGGCCCAAACGCCTGGCACCCCCGGCCCAGAGAGGAGAAGGAGGAGGAGGAGAAGGACAAGAGAGGAAGGAAGAGGAAGGAAAGGACAGGGAATTGTCACCGCCTGTTTCGTGTTGCTGATGTCGTCGATACCAGACCCCTGCAACCGCCGCCGTCGTCGTCCCGCCCGTCGTCCACTCGGACTCGCTCTCACACCGAGGCACCCACAGCTGGAGATGCCAGAAAATGGGATGCACATATGGGGCTCTCCGCGTCGAGTAAAAATGGTATTGTGCACGATCGCTCTCTCTAAATACGCCACCTTGCCTGCACGTTCTGGGCGTGTTAGACTACAAAGTACTGCCCAGTAGGGACTATTAGGGGTTATACCAGCAGATGTCTGCATGCAACGCCGCCCCCTCCCGAGACCACCATCCCTGGTTAACAAAAACTATAACCCCGCGCTCCCGAGGCCACGATCCCTCGCACAAACCATGTGTCCGCGTCGCGAGCTTCCAAGACGGCCTAGGCATGCGACCAAGGCGACCAAGATGGCCCGAGGTGTCTCGAAGACGGGTCCAGATCGCCCTACGGCGGCCCAAGATTGGCCTCACGACTAGACAAA